CCAACTGAGCCACACAGACTTCCCACTTTAATTTAATTTTTACCACAAAGTAAGTTTAAAATATAATACTGTTCCTACTTTCTTCCTGTAAAATACAAGGACTTTACAATACTTAAGTTCTAATTCTCTTCTTTTATGCTACTGCTGACCAGTATTTGACTTTCCTCTGGTTTTTACACTACTCAAATTCAGAATTTTTGATATATATTTTTGTTATAGGTAAACTCTTGGTTACTAATTTCTTTTTTTTTTCCCTGTTTCTTGCATCATAGTCCCCACTTTTGGATCCAATCGTGCCTTCCTAAAATACTTCTTTTTGTTAAGGGTAACTCAGTTTTCTTTCTCAGAAAGTGTCTTTATTTCTCCCTGTTTCAAAAGTGGTGATTTCACTAGGTATAAAAAATCTAAATGATAAGTATTTTTCCTCAGCATTTCAAAGGTAGAAATTCTCTGCCATGCTCATTGTAGTTTCTTATATTCTTTTTCTCTCAGGAAACTTGTAAGATCTTCTTTTTGCAAAGGCATGGAAAGGTGTTCTGCTATTTTACTCTAATGTGCCATTTATTCAAATCTATTTTTTCAGCATGAACATTCATCTGAATATTGATAAACTCATCTGTTAAAACTTTCAATCTTTTCTCTCTGTTTTTTTTTTCTTTCTGGTATTCCTATTAGCGAATTTTGAACTTACTATTCTTTCTTTTTAGCATTCAATTATTCCTTAAGATTTTCCAACTATTCATATCTTTGTAATACATTCTGGGTATATTCTTCAGACCTTTCTCCTGTTTTATCAGCCATAATAACTTCAACTATATCCAATATGCAGCTTAACCAAGGCATTTAGTAACTAGTTTTAGAAATAAACTCAATTTAGTTTTTTGAACCTTTATTAATTTCTTTTCCATTTTGCCTATACTTTCAAAAACTATGCCACATAATTTTAATAATTTTATTTATTTTTTCTTTTATTTATTTTTTCTTTTAATTTTTTTGAATTTAAATAGCCAACACACAGTACATTAGTTTTAGATGTAGAGATCATTTTAAACTTATTATAAAGCATCTATTAAATTATTACATAATCATAATTTATTAGTCTTCTAAATACCTACTTACTGGGTTTTTTTATATCCCTTGGTCATAGTGGAAGCAAAGAGAAAAAAATGACTTTGTGCACCAAAAAGAGTAAGTTTTTATCGATTTATTAGAAGACTTAATCCTACCGAACCTATACCTTTGTTGTGAGATAACATTGTAAATTTGTAAATATTTTATCTGTGTAATAATTCCATATTGTTTCATATATAAATCATATAGTCATATACAGATTGACTTTCTAATCCTATTATTCTACACTTTAGGAAGGGCTTTTGAGAGAAAAGGGAACCCTCTTACACTGTTGGTGGGAATGTGAACTGGTGCAGCCACTCTGGAAAACTGTGTGGAGGTTCCTCAAAGAGTTAAAAATAGACCTGCCCTACGACCCAGCAATTGCACTGCTGGGGATTTACCCCAAAGATACAGATGCAATGAAACGCCGGGACACCTGCACACCGATGTTTCTAGCAGCCATGTCCACAATAGCCAAACTGTGGAAGGAGCCTCGGTGTCCATCGAAAGATGAATGGATAAAGAAGATGTGGGGGGATCCCTGGGTGGCGCATCGGTTTAGCGCCTGCCTTTGGCCCAGGGCGCGATCCTGGAGACTTGGGATCGAGTCCCGCGTCGGGCTCCCGGTGCATGGAGCCTGCTTCTTCCTCTGCCTGTGTCTCTACACCCCCCCCCTCTCTCTCTCTGTGTGTGTGTGTGTGTGACTATCATAAATAAATAAAAAAAATTAAAAAAAAGAAGATGTGGTCTGTGTATACAATGGAATAGTACTCAGCCATTAGAAATGACAAATACCCACCATTTGCTTCAATGTGGATGGAACTGGAGGGTATTATGCTGAGTGAAGTAAGTCAATCGGAGAAGGACAAACTGTATGTTCTCATTCATTTGGGGAATATAAATAATAGTGATAGGGAATATAAAGGGAGGGAGAAGAAATGTGTGGGAAATATCAGAAAGGGAGACAGAACATAGAGACTCCTAACTCTGGGAAACGAACTAGGGGTGGTGGAAGGGGAGGAGGGAGGGGGTGGGGGTGAATGGGTGACGGGCACTGAGGGGGACACTTGATGGGATGAGCACTGGGTGTTATTCTGTATGTTGGTAAATTGAACACCAATAAAAAAATAATTTATTTAAAAAAGGAAGGGCTTTTGACTGTAAATTCATTTTTTCAATATTATTTATGGAAATAGAGAGGGAAAGAAAGAGATCTACATTATTGAATTTTTTTTCCCACATAACAATGTATCTTGGGGAGCTATTCATACACGCATTTGGAAGTCTATTCCATACCTTTAAACTATTGTATATGTCTTTATTTATTTGATTATGCTATTAGCATGTATTTAATTATTGTCTAATTACAGTATACATGTTTTAGTACAAAATTTGTTCCTACAAATGATTTGTACATAATTTTTTTTGTGTGTATTTACATATGAGTGCTTCTACTAGGTACATTTCTGAAAGAGAAATTACTGAGTTTAAGGATGTGTATATTTTGCATTTGATAATATGAACTTGTTTCAACTTCTGAATACAAAAAAGAATGAGAAACTCCGGATGGCCACGCTTGGGTGGCTCAGAGGTTGAGTGTCTGCTTTGGCTCAGGGTGTGATCCTGGAGTCCCAGATAGAGTCTCACAACAGGCTCTCCCTGGGGAGCCTGCCTCTCCCTCTGTCTATGTCTCTGCCTCTCTGTGTGTGTCTCTCCTGAATAAATAAATAAAATCTTTTAAAAAAAGGAAAGATAAAAAGAGAGGAAAAGAAACTCCAGATGACTGCCTTAAAGAATCAGAGCTAATACAACAATTGAAGATAGAGAGCTGTCTAGGTGACCAGGGCCCTTCCACTTAGACACAGCATACTTGATCCTGTTCTTATGCAGACACTAGTGAGAGCTTTGCCTGTGTACAAAGCAGAGGAGCATATTTTCAAATTATTGTGAAGAGTTTTGGTGTTGTATGACAAGATAAAGTGGTATCAAGTTGTTTATTGCAGAATGTCGTCTCCAGGATTTTAGCCAAAGTCTTCACACTTCACGTAATGTTTTCAGCTTGCCAGAAAAGGAGGAGTTTCTTTCCAGCTGGGTGCTGATTTTTATGTTTGCTACTGACAGTTGAAAATCATGTTTGTTTTTTTTTTTTTTAGGACTTCCCTACTAAATATCACATCCTCAAGTTTTTCTGTTTTTCCTCTATTCTTTTGGGATTAAATAGAGTTATATATATTTTTAAATATATTTCTTCTTTTAAAAATACTTTTTGATTACATAATATTATGGTATTCTTGTTAAGAATGCATACATTTTAATATTTAACTCAAGTTTTCTTGCTTTTGTATCTCTTCAATTCTATATAATTTTTCCTGTCTTTTTTCTTCTCTTAAGTGCCCATCTAACTGATCAAGGGCATCTTCAGTCAGTAACAGAGGAGAGAAAGGCAAAGTCATTTTTAATCTGCTACTTGGTGACTTACAGACTCAATTTTGTGCAGTTGACATTTTTTCTCTCTCAAGTCTTAGAGAATCATGCCAGGCCAATTAAACTAAATGATAGTTAGAGATGCCTTTTCCTTCAGATCAACTCAGAAAAGCAATGATTAAATATAATGGTGTTCTTAATGTCAAACCTATTGAAGATATTATTTACCTCTCACATTATCTATCTGGGGAAAGGCTACCAGTACTCATGCGGGACAAAAAGGACTGAACTAGATTCACTGGATGAGAGTTGTTATTATACCCATATTAAGCGATATCCTTGGGGAGATGACAGTTGGGACACTTATAGTGTTCCACATCAAACCATGCAAGGCAAGAAGGTGTCAGAGGGAAAATATTATTTTATCTGACTCCTTTGCCTATCATAATGGTTCACTACCTCTCTATTATAGGATTTTCAACATTCCCCTCACTTCTAAGAATGCCTTTTGGCATTTATTCATTAAATTAAGCTTAATAGTAATTTATTTTTCAGAGTTGGCAGTTTCATGTCTCTTTGAATAATAGGAGATACTTTGGGATTGTTCAGAACAAGGATTAAAAAAACACTTGATTCTAACTTTTAATATATTTATTGTACTTTTGACTAATTTAACAAAAACATCATATATCAAGCCTAGCATTGGACTAGTCACTTTTGGTTTTAATCGTATTTCTCTAAGGACTAATGATATTAAATAGCTTATCATGTAGTTACTTGTCATTTATACATTATCTCTGATGATGAGTGTTCAAATATTTTGCCTGTTTTATTATTATTATCATTATTATTATTGGATTATTTGTTTTCTTATATTGAATTTTGAGAATCTTTATATTTTGGAGACAAGTCTTTATGTGATTTTGTAAATATTTCCTTCCAGTCTATAGCTTGTCTTTTCATTTGTTTAATGGTGTCTTTCAAAAAGCAGACATTCTTCATTTTGAAGTCAAATTTGTCATTTTGTTCTTTTATGGATCATGGTCTTAGTGTAGTATCTAAGAAATTTTGCTAACTCAGTGTAATAGAGACCTAATTCTATATTTCTTCTAGAAATTTTATAGAATTAAGTTTTACATTTAGACCTATGATACATTTTGAGGTAATAAGAACAAAATTCTTGATAGTTACCTAAGTTGTTTTCATTTCTCATGATTTGATTTTTGTAGATGCAGATGTCCATCTGGTATCACTGTCTTTCTGCCTGAATGACTTCATTAATTTTTTTTATAAAATATTAAGTCTGTTGGTGATAAATGTATCCGTCCTTTGTATGTTTGAATAAATCTTTATTTTGCTTGCTTTTGAAAGACATTTTGCTGTGTAAAGAATTCTAAGTTGATAGTTTTTTTCTTTCATTACTTTAAAGATAATACTTCATGACATTTATTTATTAATTTCTTAAAAATATGGAGCACTTCCTGAATTTGCATGTCATCCTTGTGCAGGGGCCATGTTAATCTTCTCTGTAATGTTCCAATTTTAGTATATGTGCTGCTGAAGTGAGCATACTCCACGACTTTCAGTGTGCATTGCTACTAATGATAAATGTGTGGTCATCCTTATCTTTGTTCCCCTGTATATAATGCATCTTTTTTCTTATACAAAGCACTTTTATATTGTTTTGTGTGTTTATATATAAATACAATAATGTAACACAGATTTGTTTTTGTTCTTTCAAAAGGGTCTTTGTATCATTCAGAACTAGGCAGCCTTGAGAAAATATATATGTATATACATTTTACTCATGGAATAGAAATTAGATCAAATATGTAGAATGTTAGTTATTTGGTCCATTGCATTTTAGAAGAGTATACAAATAAATTAAGCTGCATACATTTGATGAGGTAGAAAAAATGAATAGCATGTAAATCACCTTTAAAATGTTTTTCTTTAAAAAAATTTAAAATAAAATGTTTTTTTTTTTGATTAGGAATCATGTTTGCTTGCTTTTTATACTTCCATGAAAAATAATAGAATGAACTTTGTTAATTTACCAAAGCATCTCTAGGTGAAAGAAATCGTGATTAAATGTCTTTGATTTCTGCTTTGAGTGGAAGAGTGAAAAGTCTGAACAGATTTCCCCTTGTCAGTTCCCCCAAGTTATGCTTAAAGAGATTCAGCTGCAGATGCAAACAATACCTCTTCTTGCTTTGTTCACAGGCCAAGCCCCAGAATTTATCAGTGAGTTGAAAAATTCCACCATCAGGTAGATCTACCAATTAGCAGTAGGTCCATCTGCATGTCATAGGGACAATGGCTTAAACAAGATGAAAATCTATTTCTCTCTCACATAAAATTCCAGAGTTAGACAATACAAGGGTATTTATTGTGACCTTGTTCCATAAAGTTTTTTAAAACCCAGGTTCCTTTCAATCCATTGTTCTAGCATAGTAGAACATGATTGTTGCCATCCTGGTCCAAGATGATATCTAGAGTTTTAGCCATCCTTATCAGGAAGTCAAGTACAGGAGGTGAGAAAGTAAAGGGCATACATTGAATGACATCTGAAAAGAGATTTCAGAAGCTGACACCAATACTTAATTTACTGTTTCACTGACCAAAATTCAATCACAAAGCTTCACTTAACTGGAAGGAAGATTGGAAATTGTAGACTTATATGGATAGTCATATATCCAGCTATGGTAACAGAGAGGAATGGGGACTAGGAAAAATTAATAGTATCTACTTAGATGAATGTTAATAAGCATTGTTATATCATTCTTTCTAATATGAGATCTGCCTTATTGTTTCTCCACACTTACTTCCTGTAACATAATTCCTATTTTACTAATAACTTGTTTCATTGTTATTTTTGCTGACTAGAATGCGCACATTATGAGGGGAGGGATTTTTGTTTGCCCCTATGAAGGAGATAAGAATAGAACCTGGCATGTGATTGACGTTTAATCAATATTTGAATGAAGAATGAAATAAAGTAAACATGGAGCCCTATAACCTGTTTCTGCCATTGTAATCACAGAATAAAACATATTAATCTTCTCAGAAAAGGTGAACATCTTTAATTTGACAAGACATAAGACATAAGTAGATATGCAATAAAAGAGATCATGCGGACAGGAAAAATTAGGAGAGACATGAATGCAGAGAGAGTTAAAATGAGTCTTGAGGGAATTTAAGTTGTGAGGAAGAGAAAAGACCTTCCTGACAGAATAGTATCAAGGAAAACATAAAGATAGTAGATTTCTTTTATCTAGGCAAATGTTATGGAAAGCAAAGTTGGTTAGTGGGACTACCTTAGAAGTTAGGAATGAGATAAACTAGAGTTAATATAATCTCACATTTAAAGACTTTACTCTTGGTAAAGTCTCTTAGTATTATTATTTGATCATTTAATTTTCATAATAAGTTGATTTAGAAGGTGTGTTATCCCCAATTAATAGAGGAAGTTTAACCTAGATTTGATAACTTATTTATGATCACATAGTTTATTCATTAATTACATCATATTAAATCATTGGGGTCCAGTAAGGACCTCAAACACTAATCTGTTGTCTTTAACCTGTGGTCTTTTGTTCAGACACTAGTGCCAAGGTAAAAGCCAAACTATACACAAAGAGGGCAGCCCCGGTGGCGCAGCGGTTTAGCGCTGCCTGCAGCCCGGGGCATGATCCTGGAGACCCTGGATGGAGTCCCATGTCAGGCTCTCTGCATGGAGCCTGCTTCTCCCTCTGCCTGTGTCTCTGCCTCTCTCTCTCTCTGCATTTCTATGAATAAATAAATAAAATCTTTTAAAAAAAACTATACACAAAGAACCATAAATTGAATTGGGATACATTATGATCATTAAAAAAGTTATTTATTTTATACCAATTTCTGTATCTGGATAATGAGAGCAGCATGTTTTATACCTAACACTGAGGTATATATAAGAACAAATAAGATTCAACCTCACATTTTATATTTTCTGAATTTTATGGTGAAGAAAATAAACCAATTGCTTACATTTAACTTCTAAACCAGAAGTTGCTTATGCAAATTACAATAACATTAGCAAGTGTACACTTGAGAGGGTTTCAAATGTCTTCTTATAAAGAAAACTACATTAAATAAAGATAATACTTGTTCTTCATCTGTCCTCAATCATTACTTTTCCTGTGGGATAGTGTTTCTGCTAACTTTTTTCCTTTTACTGAATGGCCAGTAAAGGGGAAGAAAAAAGAACTAAGGCTCTTAGTTATTAAGTGTCAAGAAATCAATATGAAGGAGAAAAAATGAGTGGGAAATATCAGAAAGGGAGACAGAACATGAGAGACTCCTAACTCTGGGAAACGAACTAGGGGTGGTGGAAGGGGAGGTGGGTGGAGGGTGGGGGTGACTGGGTGACGGGCACTGAGGTGGGCACTTGACAGGATGAGCACTGGGTGTTATTCTATATGTTGACAAATTAAACACCAATAAAAAATAAATTTATAAAAAAAGAAATCAATATGAAGATTTCTTTGGGCAGATTAATGTGAAATGAATTAAAACCAAAACCTTCATGATGTGAATATGTACATGTACATATTCTGCACAATTCAGAGAAGACATAATTCAAATATGAATAGCATTTCTTATTATTTCTACTTGAGTCATTGATTGAAGTGGTGAAGAAAATTAAAATCACTAGCAAAAATTTAGCTCAACAAATGTTTCACACGTTTAGTAAAAGATATATTATTAATCTCATCACATAGGAGCTATCACTGTTACAACTAACCCTGGAGCTATAAAATGAGCTGTAAAATAGATTTGATTTTAGAATATTACAAGTTCTGTCATTATGGCTAAGATTAACTAGATAGCCTGATAAAGGTCTATTGCTTTTAGTGATACAGCAATGTCGCAGACAGGAAACTGCTTGGTAATTATAGCTGACTTACTGGAAATAAAAGGGCAGAAAAAGGGCACCTTTGAGTAATTATCAGTAATAGAAAGACAAGTGATTTGAGCAAGGTAATAGAGAACAGCAGTTTCATAGTGATAGATGATAGAAAGGGTTAAGTCCTAAGTAAGTTAGAGGTTTTAATGGTGGAATAGTTATAATTTATTTTGGTCCAATTGAGTGCTCATCTAGAGCCTTATCTGAGCTGAGGGATTTTTCTCTGGTGCTCTCTACAGATAAAATATTACGCCTTCATGATATAATGCGCAAACCTGAAGCTCGCATTGTATTGTAGCTCTTTGAGGTTAGGTCTTCCTTGGTTTTTATTGCATTTACTAAAGGGTGAATATATGTATTCAGTTCTGATGGTAACCAAACCTGTATTTCTTTTCTGGTAGTATTTTCCTCTGTTCAAGATTTGTTTGTAATATTTAAGTGTTGGGTGACATATTAACCCCACCAGGCTATTGTATACCATATAAAGCATCATAGATTGATGGTAATAAATTATACTTTCCAAAATGAACCAGGAATACTATCTCTACTCTTGGCCTTCAGCATGCTTCTTAGATTATAAAATAACATCATGAAGTCCAATGGTTTTCTTGGCAAAACTCCATGTGTGGTGCACTTTATTTGGTCCCTTTGGCATGGACAATTTGGGAGATGATTTTTTAAATATTTTATTTAAATTCAAGTTAGTTAACATATAGTGTATCATTATTTTCAGGAGTAGAATGTAGTGTTTCACTTGCATGTAACAACCAGTGCTCATTACATCAAGTGCCCTCCTTAATGCCCATCATGCATTTACCCCATCCCCCTACCCCATTGCAACCCTCAGTTTGTTCCTTATAGTTCAGAGTATCTTATTGTTTGCCTCCCCCACTGTTTTTGTTTTATTTTATTTTTCCTTGCATTCTCCTATGTTCATCTGTTTTGTTTCTTAAATTCCACATTTTAATGAAATCGTATGGTATTTGTCTTTCTCTGACTGATTTGTTTTACTTAGCATAATACACTCTAGTTCCATCCACGTCATTGCAAATGGCAAGATTTTGATGGTTTTTTGATGGCTGAGTAATGTTCCATTACATATATAATATATTATATAATATATCCATTATATATTATATATCAACTCTTCTTTATACATTCATCAGTTGATGCACAACTGGGCTCTTTTCAGATTTTGGCTATTGTAGAAGTGCTGCAGTAAACATTGGGGTGCATGTGCCCTTTTGAATCATTATTTTTATATTCTTTGGATAAATATTTATAGTGCAATTGTTGTTAGTTCATTGAGTAGTTCTGTTTTTAACTTTTTGAGGAATCTACAACAGATTTTCCGTATATGTTTTCCAGAGTGGCTGCTCCAGTTTACTTTGGAAGATGGTTTATACTTCAACATGACAATTCTCACAGAAACTCAGGTCATAGTCATGACATCCGAAGTTCTTTCAAATAAAGAAAATATGAGGGATGGGCTAATAGGTGATGAGTGTTAAGGAGGGCATTTGTGATTAGCATTGAGTGTGGTGAATCACTAAATTAATTCTACATCTGAGAGTAATTTACCATATATGTTTAGTAATTTGAATTTAAATAAAAACTTGATGTTA